ATGTAGAGAACGTTAGTGAAGTACACGCTCTTAAAGCTGAACTAGCTGAACTGAAGATGCAGATCTATTCATCGAACCACAACGCTTTAGGCGAAACATCGAATCAGCTAAGTGGAGACCAGTCTATATTCTCACAAGAACAAGGGGTTGAGGATGTCAACTATGTTGCAAACAATCCTTATTCCAACACCTACAACCTAGGCTGGAGGAATCACCCTAACTTCTCTTATAAGAGCAACAATTACCAAAACGCTCTTCAAGAGAACAGGAACCGAACGTTCCAAAATGCGGGACCATTCCAAGGTCAGACTTTCCAATAAAAGACCTCAACAACAGTTTCAAGGATACCAAGGGTATCAAGGAAACCAACAATTTAGAGGTCAACAACAACAACCTTAGCAAAAATTTGATCAGACCCCTGATATTGAGACGATGCTCGAGACGCTCTTGCAAGGGCAAACATCTATGAGTAACACAATGCAAGGAATGGTCACCGAACAGAGTGATTTAAAGAAGCAAATCCAAGGGATAGAGTCCTATGTAAAGCTTCTCGATAACCAGGTAGCTCAACTCGCAGCTAAACCTAGCAGGACGCAGGGCACTTTACCTTGTAAACCTGAACCAAAACCTCGTGAGCAATGTAATTCTGTCTATGTGGATGCGAACAAAACTTACGAAACTAGAACAAAGAAGAGCCTATCTAGAGAGGCAAAGGAATCCGATGTAGAGGAACCGGAGGACGTGTACGTTTCGCCACCTCCACGACCACCTCCTATACCGTTCCCACAATGGTTACAGCGTATTCCGCAAGTAAACAGCGAACTCACGATGTTCGCAGATATGTGGAAGAAGATGGAAATCGTCCAGCCCTTACAAGAGGCTATAGCGCAAACACCATCTTACGAGAAATTTCTTAAAGATACACTCGTTAAGAAGGAGAAATTAGAAGAAGAATTAGTAATCCTAACAGATGAATGCAGTGCTCTACTGCAATAGAACTTACCAGCCAAGATGGCAGATCTAGGAAGTTTCTCCATACCTTGCCAACTGGGCAGCGTCTCTATTCCTAGCGCACTATGCGACTTGGGAGCGAGTGTGAGTC